CTTGGCGAGCTGCGACAAATATGGCTTGCCGGCATCTCGTTGGGAAACCCTTGTCTTACCCAATATAACTTTTAGTCACAAAATTGGTGATTAGCATGCGTACCGAGGCTTCCTAACTGATAAACCGACACATGAACAATGATGAATAGATTTGGATTGAAATCCTTCACTGGTCACAAGATATCATGTAACATTTCTTAGTGATCTCTGCTGCTCTTAGCATTCTGTAAGGATTCTACCGATGAGTCCTTGAGAGGAGTTAAATCTTGCCCTTGTTGCTAACAGGATTGTGCAGTGTTTTGCATGATCGGATGGGTCACAAGTATAAAGTCCATCTACTATCGATATTGACGTGATAAATTACATGCAAATCAAATGCTGCATAGAAAAGGGAAAGTTGGAGCTTTGAATGCTAAGCCTGACAGTTTCATCACACTCCTATTTGTGACATGTTTCATTTTATGGAACTCATTATGCTGCTTTGATCTGTGCTTGGGTGCCATCAGCAGGAGTACCTTATTGATAAAAGCAATGTTAAAAAATATTCGCCATGTGATCTGTCGTCTGTTCTCTATATAATAGTATTGCGCAAGGAATGAAGGCACCGTGGAGCGAAATGTATTGAGTTTTTTCAGAGACACATTGAAACCTTAAGCCAGCAGCGTGCAATCGCAAGAATTATCAGTGTCAGTAACTGCGCTGATTCCATGTGGATCTAGATGCCAGCCACAGTTGCCAGTATGAAGAATTTAAACAGCCTCTGTCCAGCAGTGTTTTAGCATTAACTTCGGTAACACACATTGTTAATTAGTTGTTAATACTACTCTAGCGTTTTCTGTATCCATAACTTGTTGCTTGCGCATTCCTTAACTTATATATGTTACAGCTCTGGCTGACGACTATCCTTCCAAAAATATATTGTCGGAGACCATTCTCGAGTAACAGCAGTTTTTATCAGCATCCCGTGTGTTTCCCTTTTCCTAATATATCAGAGTCAAAAACCGAAAAACACCAGCCATTTCTTCTTGACATTCTTTCGACGGACTGAAAACAGTCCTACATGGGTAATATGTGGACTGAACGTCAGTTCTGAGAGATGTATGCGTGCGTGTTCGGTTTCAATGCCTATGAAGAGGATCGTATCCAGGGGCTGAAACAGTCACAAACTGCAACTCACCACTTGTTATTTCAACTGCGGCAATTATCACAGCGTCTCTGCGACGAAAAAGAACTTGCATTACGCTAATTGAGTCAACCGTACGTGAATTCAGTCGGTGGTGGAGTCCAATTATATATCATTCTTTACCAGGTATTTCGCAGGCTAATATACATTGTTTTGAATAACCCTTTTTGAAAAATGTAAGGCAGAGCGAAAATTGAGTTCTGCGTAAATTGATCATTCGCTAGTCATGGTTGATAACACAGTGAGGGTTAAAGTTAGTTAAATGTTGTATTGCTCTAGCAATCCTTTTAGCCATATATCAGCTGTCGCTAAGGAGCATCAGAGTATTGTTCTCTTTTCATCTCAAATTTGAGGTTTAGAACTAACATTCGAATCGCATTAACAGTGTTGCTTGTTTGATTAGGCACAGGTTTCATTTCAGGTGTGGATGAAGAAACAGGAGGTTATACGCTTTAATGTGGGGGCATTCATTTCTGCCCTGACAGCATCCAGCGGTAGATCGGTATTCTCCATTACAGAGGAAACGGGTCCTCAATGGAAGTAAGAACGATTCACGTACCAACGATTTTATTCTTTCTTCATTTTCTGTCTTAGATTGAAGAATATCATGCATTGTGACTTGTTAAGTGGTTAAGGACGGTGGTTCCCTCTTTCCTTTGTCATTTGAGTTTAGTTTTCTTAGAAATACTTGTCTTAAAATGGGATTTTTAAACCCTGAATTGTCTTTGTCACCATTACTGCCCACCGTCTGCGCAAATCAGTAGCAGATGCTGCCCACGTTCCTGATACTGCAGATGTATAATTTCAAATTCATAATTAGGATATCCATAAAAAATGTCGGGTGTACTTTGAGGTTATCTTAAGCAGACGAGTACGGGCTGCGGGATTAATTACGAAATTTGTTTCGGGACAAAGGAGTACTTGCGCTGGTCGAAGTGACAACTGCTATTAAATTTACACAGTGCCAAAGATGTTGTTCAAAAGGAAACCCGACGTAAGATGCTAAAAGCATTGAATCATGACGCTGTTTTTGCTGACCATTTATTTGCCAAGCTGACTGTAGCCTTGGAAACTCACCAACGCAGTTGTGGTTATCTCTGCTTTCCAAAGAGGGTAATATGCAGACTGGGTGACTCTCGAAGCATCTCGGTTCAGCATATGGGGTAAAGTGTGTCAACTGCATGGAAACGAGATGTCTAAAAATGGTACAACAGGTGATTCTGGACAAGCAATATAGTTTCATCCTGGCCGCAGCACTGGAGATGAAGACTTTATTCTCCGCTAAAAACCCAGCAGGTAATTGAGAAGCAGGTCGCTGTTCCATGATGCGAGCACCTTCAGTATGTCGATTCATTTCGCATTTGAACTAGCATAAGTACACGTTCTTTAGAGCGTCAGAATTTGTTCGTACTCAAAATCTATATTTTACGGCGTATTGCACCCTCTTACTCCTAGTTGCCTAGAGGGCATTTTTAGTAGGCCACGGCTC